TTATTCTTCTTTGCTTCATTCCTGGTTCAAGGCCGCAAATTACTAACGATGGAAAATCCTTTATTTATCAAAGCGTTTCGACTGTACACTGGAGTCATAATCGTAAAAAATACGAATTAAATAGCGCGACGATAAGAGAATAGCTGCATGGGCATTTGAGTGACAGGTCCCGCTGTTTCAGGAATCCTTACGAAGAGTCTGGTTCATGACATTCCAGCTGTCGCTCAGAAAGAGCGAGCTGGTAGAGTCATTAGATATTCGGGCATGAATATTACGATTCTTCACCTGTTAGCCAGATGTCCGTGCGATATCGGTCAATACAAGCGACATTCGTTGGATTAAGCAAGTCTTTCAGGCAAAAAGCATGCGAAACGATGCCGCAATGCTCCGTCTTCCAATTTTTTAAGAGCAGCCAGATCTACTGCAATTCATTTTCTAGCCTTGTTATGGTCTATCCTATTTAAGTGTTATCACAGTCATTAAATTGGATTTAATATACCACATTCATTTATTTCGTTCTGTCGATAAGTCTATGATCCCAAAGCGCTGTAGTAAATCCGAAAACCTTCGTTCCTGAGAACCATTAACATGGCGCAGTTTCGTTTGTATGTTTTATCCGTATGACGACACTGGTAAATGATGTCGAAAAACATTGGTGAATAATGATTTTACATCGTTCGTTTACAGCACATATTCAATACCTACTTTTTCCATAATAAATAAATTACGATAAAGATCGAGAGAGTGAGGTGAGTATTTAATCATTTTTGATTAGTAACAGATTCAGAGATGAATTGGGCCTTGAGCTAATCTGCTGAAAAGTCATTATGACAGCTCTGCCGAAGTATGAAAAGATTGGAAAATCATAACCGGAAAAAGAATTTTTAGTCCCATAATTACCTTATTTGAGGTACTGAGTAACAAGCCGAAAACATCTGCTGCACTGAAATACCATAAAACTCGACTCAACCGCATGCAACAGTGGTGTCAGTGAAACATGCTGTAGGTAGAGTCGAGCGGATCAAGAGAAATGAG